CTTTAGTTTTTTGATATCCGATTTTACCCTTTTTACAATGAAGTTATCAATTAGCAGAGAATAACTCTGATAATTTAGACTTCGCTATAATAAACGCGTAACAACGTCATTCAGCATGCAACGAAGTAAATACTTGGTGATAAGAATATTGAAAGCAGTCACCTGCAAATAATTAATCAGCGATGCTTTGTCAGTTTGTTTTGATTTTTATGTCGTGGCCTACGTACACTATCCAAAACACCGCGCATTTAAAATATACTGGACTACGTCTGCTAATTCTAATCACCCCTGTTTTACACGCTGTTAGCACACAAAAAAAGCATCATATAAAATCCAAATAATGGGGAATTTTGTTGCCTTTTTAAGCGAAGTGGCAAATCTCTTAACAGTTTTTGTTCATGCCCAAATATTCGCATTAAAATGTCTATCCTTAACAATTTACAAGTAAAATTATTCCAAACTTCTACCAAGAGGGGTATTTTTTGCAACTAATCGAGAGTCCATACGTTATTGAAAAATTGGGCTAGTGGCATTAATTCCTCCCCATTCTAATGATAATTCCTATAATTACTTAAAAATATGCTTGCTTTTAAGTGCGGGAAATTCGTTGTTGGTGTAAAAACGAATCTGTCTTGCCTATACATTGCAATGCGGTGAGTAATTGCTTCTGTGTGTCTTTATATTCTTACATTTGCCTAACTGCATGATATCTACTACTGGTCGTTCAAAAGACAACCATCTCCTCAGGGCATTATTGTGGAACAGTGGTGCAGAATTTGTGACAGTTGGCTTCACTTTGCGTAGTAAGTAAATCTAAAACACGGCCAATGGGCTTGAATGCCATTTCCTAATAAGAGAGCCTCAAGATGTGAGAGTAGTACAAGGCCAGTAGCGAGTGCCTCACACTGAAGGGGCACTTGAATGCGCTCTACATATTCCTATTAGTTCCGACAGATGGAAAGCACAGGAACTTCAGCTGACCAGTCAATTAGACAACTGTACTTCTCATTACATCGACGCAATTGCAATTAACTACAGTCCCTGTCGTTTTACAGATCCAGTGAATAACTGGCACCGGCATATGGGCACGTGAGAATTTGCACGCACAGCATCCTTTAACAAGACGGAATCCACCTCCAATAATCGCGAAGACAACATTGACTGATTGTGGCAAATTTATTATTGGTGGTATTTACTGTGTTAAAATTGAGATATAACATCTTGATCACATTCATCACAATCGCTAGGAAGTGATTTGACCTGTGTCGCGAGCCAGGTACTCATTGCACAGAAGATTGCTGCCTATCCCTGCAAAGTCCACTAGCTGGTCAATGGGGTGGACAACACCGGTCTCCGGCTCCTTATAGTTCGACGCCACGTTAAGTGAAGCTGCGTATACACCTGCGAAAATGATGAAAGCAAAATATTTTAACAAAGCCACCAGCACCATTTTTATAAAGCCCTAATGCATCACGACAATTCTTTGGCTGCTGGAAGAGGTTGGTTTGGTGAAAGGTGGCAGTACCTACAAAATACATGGAGCATGCGACTGATTTTACAGGAAAGCAATTCCTCGTGTTAGGGAAATGTAAGAACTCTCTTGAAACCAAATGCTACTCATTAATTTGGATCAAGCACTACAAGACAGATGATGGGAATCACCAGCAAAACCATGCAAAGCTTTTAGTGTTTACATCTACTTGTCTGCAAAAACAGATTTTCTATCAACAATGTCTTGGACAAATTTATGAAAAGCATGACAACCAAATATAACATGGATTTTAAAACTGAACACCTTAACAAATAATGCCTTCCAGCAAATCAGAGCAATAAAAGAACACGTTCACAGGTGCCTTAACAGACAAATTTGAAAAAAACTGCAAAGACTGGAAAATGCCGCATGTGATACTTAAAAATTCGCGATCGCAAAGGAGGATTTACAAACCTCTCGATAAAAGCATCAGCACGAAAAGAGGACAGAGTTACCTTTATGGCTGCCGTGGCAGCGAAACAGTCGTGCACTTCGCCGAGAGCAACTTCACAGAGGCAAAGACAGCTCCAGGATGCACTGGTGAGGTCAAGCACTAACTCCAGCGGATTTGCTCCCAATGAGAGAGAAGGCGTGACGGTAGGCGTAATTCGTGGCCCTTGTGCTCTACCAAGCAAACAAGGCAAAGTGGTGCACAAAAAAGAAAGTACTGATATTTGAGAAGTAGCAGTGGAAAGCATTCACAGAAAGCCAGCCAAAATTGTACAAGAAACGTGACAGAGCCTTATGCGAGCTGCTTCACACAAGACCTACAGTAAACGAGCAAAAGCTCCGATGCCCATTTGTTTCGTCACTGAAGGCATAGAAAAAAGAGGACGAAGCAATCCCCTATTCCTAAATCTCACTCAGTATTTGTCGTCATGGTCCCACTCTATGCTGCCGTAAGGAGAAACTGCCTTGCAAAAGCAATGCAGAACACTGCCAGAGAGGACACAATGCCAGGTCATGAAACACTAGTGGAGTGAAAAACCAAGGCCCGCACATTCCCCTTTCCCTCCTTCCAAGCCGTTGTCACCGTGATGCACAAGAGAAATGCATTACACATATACCAAAGGAAAATAGCA